TGTAGGGTGATCAACTCACCCCAGTTGGCTAAGGTTTTCCTGGTTTTAGCATTGAGATTCCCACATCTTAGAAAAACCAGTCTTGGGCAAATGAGAACCATTGATTACCCTACATATAGCAATTTTTTGGAACTCCATCCTGGGCCTTTTCTTTTCATACCACATTCTCACCCTTTTTAATAGTTTTAAGTACCATTTATGTTGATAACTCTTAAATTTTATTTCTTTCTCTGACCTCATTTTTTTAAAGAAATTTGAATGCCTTCATAATATTCCTTTTTCTGTATATCAGAAGAATATCACTATTAAAAACTCCAAATCCAAATGACTTCATTTATCCTAAAAAACTATTCTTCCTCCAGATTTTCTTACTTTGGTAAATAACATCCATACAAGCAGTTGCATAAGCCTAAAATCCTGGCATCAGGCTTGATGCTTCCTTCTCTTTGATCCCTACATTCCATCTATCATTCATTCTTACAGATTTGCATCCAAAATATGTATGAAACCTGTATTTTGACCATCTCTACTGCCTAATAACCTTATCCAACATATTCCAACCTATTTTTGGACCACTGTAAATAGAATCCATCTTTTAATTCATTCGTTACACAAAATACTCAGAAGGATAGTTTTAAATATAAATACTACCTATTTTTGGACGACTGTAAATAGAATCCATCTTTTAATTCATTCTCTTACGCAAAATACTCAGAAGGACAGTTTTAAATGTAAATAAGACAATTGAGCTCTTTACTCAATCTCCTTTAAAATCCTCCCATTGAGCTTAGACTAAACTCTAATCTTGAAGTAATCCACTAGGCCTTTTAAGAACTGCCCCCTGCATGCTTTTGCAACCATGCTCCACTGTTATTCACTCTACTCTTATAGCAATCATATTGTCTTTCTTTTAATTATTTTCTTGAAATTGTAAAGTTCTTTCCTGCCTCAGGGCCTTCTCATGCAATATTCCTTCTGTCTGTACATCAATTACTCCCTGTTCTTCTGGTTAACTCCTACCAATTTTTAAATTCTCATCTTAGACATCACATTAACAGGCAAGCATTCGCTATCCCCAGCTTTAATTATATCACATACTACCTAGACCCCCTTACTCTCTCGTACCAAAAGCAAACCAAACCCATTCTGATTCTTAGCAACCCTATATAGGACAGAGTAGAACTGCCCCATTGGATTTCCTTGACTATAATCTCTACAGAAGTAGATTGCCATATCTTTTTCCCACAGAGTAAATGGTGGGTTAGATCTGCTGACCTTTTGGATAGCAACCAAACACTTTAACTACTGTGCCACCAGGGCTCCCACTACTGTCTCATAACAATCTATTATTTTGATTTATTGAGCTTATCACTATTTATCATTGAGAATTTTGAAACTTTTTTAAAAGTACCTTTTAGTCCTATTATTATGCTGGAATGAAACTAGAAATCACATTTCTTTTATTCACTATTATACTCAATGGTTGGTACATTCTGGGCATTTACTAAATATTTTTTAATTTATGGACAAGAGTATTCCACCAAGGTTACTGGCAAAGCCTGGCGTATAAGTATTTGCCTTTTCCTGACTTTGTCACCCTGTGTAGATCTCCTGGAAGATATTTCATAAATGGGGAACTGAGAAGTTGGTGGAAAAGGTTATATAACACAAATAGAGTCCAATCGTTTTCCTTTTTTTTTTTTTTTAACCTTATTATTATGAATATTAGATGATCCTAGAAATAGTTTTAGTTCCCCAGTAAGTTTCATAAATGGGATCCTTTTATTGTGCTTCCTTTGGCATCAATAATCTATATACTTGTTGGAAGTGATTCTATGTCTCCCTCTTTTATCTTCTAAAATGGGTAGAGGAAAGTCCAAGTAAAGAATGGGGAGAGAAGGACACTCACGAGGTCCATTGACTATGATGCCTCCTGAAAGAGTCTTAGCCTTGGAATGGCTAAAGATGTAGGAGCAGAACTCTGCAACTTGTTCTGGGAACTCAGAGTTCATCTCTTCCTCCTGTAGCTGCTCCAGACGAACAAGGTACTTCCTTTGAGCAGGCCGGTCAAAGATGAAGCACTTCTTCTTGGGGAAGAATTTTCGGATGCATAATCGAGGCTCATTAAAGTTTTTAACTTTTTTATCAGTACCTGCGGGAATAAAAATTAGAGGTAGTACAACTCCTAAAAATTGATTTCTCAATATCATAATTTTCACAAAGCCTATGTAGGGAGATAAAAATTAGTTAATCATGGACCAGAAATTAAAAAAGGAATAGAGTAGAAAATGAAAAATCTTTCTCCAAGAAGAGAAATTGAATCCAACTAACTCAGCCAAGTAATGTTTTCACATTCTCTAGCACAACTGTCAGAGAAAAACGGTTAGAAATTATAATTTTTAGCACCTACAGAGAAATGGTCATTCTTGATATTATTGTCTATTTGCTACCCAACCATCAGTCCCAAGAACCTTGTTTTAGTTTCAGTGAAAGCTCCAGGTACTCATCAACAGTGATGGGTTTTCCATCTGCTTCCAGCTCCAGGGAGAAATCTCTCAGAGTCCACACGAAGGCTGGAAAGAAGCTCACAAAGTCAGCTGAGTCATCGACCTCACTATTTCCAGGTGAGGACTTTGCCCTGATTCGATCTGTCAGCTCAGTCACATAGCTGAGGTGTTAACTTAGGAAAAGTACAGAGAAACAATAGTATTTTTATGTTATATTTTCTTAACAATTTTTATGCAGTTTGTTTTCATTCTACAAATATTTTTTGAGCACCTTTATGAACCAGGCACTACTAGGAACTGGGACTATTGCAATGCATGAGACAATGCTACTATCACAGAGCTTGCACTCTAATGAGGGAGACAGACAATAAACAAGTAAGAAAAATATGGTAATATCAGACATTGACAACAATTATCTTGAAGAAAAAATGAACCAGGCTGAGGAGTTACAGAACAACTATGTGTGCATCTGCATGTAGTGGTTTATGTAGCTGTTATATTGTTATGTATTTGAGCTGATATCTGCACAGAGATCTGAATGAATTGTATGAGCCACCACCCACACAAAAATCCACTGAAGGAGCATTCCAGGCAGCACTGGTAAATCCTTAGATAATAAATATATAAGTGTGTCCAATCTAGAGCAAGAAGTCCTGTGAGGCTATGACATATTCCAAGAAGAGATAGGGGCCAGACCATTTAAGATCTGGAAGCCATAGTAAGGGGTTTGAATTTTAATCTACATTTTATAGGAAGCCATTAGGGGTTTTGAGCTAAGAGAGCATATGGTCTGATATTTGTTTTTAAAAGATCATTATGGCTGGTATAGCATCTGTAAGAAGCAAGAGTATAAACTGGGAGAGCAATTAGGCAGTTCAAGACTCAACTCGGATGAGAGATGATAGGGGGCTTGTGAGGAGTGGTCTGAGGAAATTTTTTTGAAAGTACTACTGACAGGACTTGTTCTTTAATAGTTTCTAGAGTATAAGGAAAGCATCATCCAGGATGATTCCAACATTTTGATCATCACCTGTGTGATGACGTGGGAATTCACTGTGATGAGAAAGACTGGGAAAGAGGGTTTGTACAAGAAAATTAAGAATTCTATCTCATACGTAGTAAGTTTGAGATATCTCTTACACATCTAAATGGAGATAGAAGCTTTCGGTATATACAAGTTTAAAATTGAGAGCAGAGGTTGATTGCAGATATAAACTGATGGTGATTAACATAGATGACATTCAACCTATTGAGACTGGATAAAATCACCTAGGAATGTAGAGTTGGTATGTATGAGAAAAGGCCCAAGAGCTATAAGATTTAGAGACTAAGAAGAGAAAGAGGGTGAAAAAGGATAGCCAAGGAAGAAGTTGGTAACTTAGAGAAGTATTGTATTCTAGACACCACAACAATGAAGTGTTTAGAAAGGAGGAAAAGATCTTTTTTTTTTTTTTTCCAAATGCTGCTGAAATATCAAATAAGATGAGGACTGAGAATGTGCCATTAGATACAGAAACGTAAAGGTGACCTTGACAAAAAAAGCTAGTTCCCTGCAGTGCTTGAAACTGAATTTGTGGAAATGGTGAAGTTGTTGATAATGATCAAGACTAAGTAATGTAGGAAGGTGGAAGAAAAGGTTATTAAGAAGTAATGGAAAGGAGAGATCAAGGGTTGGATGAGTGTCTGCTGAAATCTCTAGAAAGACAGTGAACCAGGAGCTAACTTGATATCTTGAATAAATCAGGGGTTTGTTTACTGAGAGATTGGTAGATGACTGCAACAAAGAAGAGTGGTATAGTTTGAGGGTATGTGCTTCAAATTAAAAGCTTCTCTTTTTAATTGGGAAAACAAAAAGAAAGTATCTGGATGTAATAAGGAGGAAGTATGACATCTAGCTCCTCTCTGGGACCTGTGAAATGCAAGGTACAGGGAGGAAAAAGTCATCACTTGAGACCACTTGATGGGCCTGTAGGGCAAACTGTTGGCAGAGGATGCCCAGGGAAGCATTTAGAGAAAATAATAAAGATATAGGGTTTTGTTGAAGTGCGAACATAAATTCTAGAGGACTTTGAGGCTTTGGAGATTAGAGGGGAGATTAAATCACAAAGATGTATTGCACTTTGTGTAGCTGAGGATCATGTGTGACCAGGAATGTTTGGACTTCTCAGAGTGATTGAACTGGGATGTTGAGAATAATGGGATTCATTATGGAAGGAACTTAGGAATTCTTCTGTAGTTGTCCACCTCTATAGCTGGTTAAAAAAAAAAAAAAAAAAGAAATTAAAGGTGCTCTTTTCTAGATTTGGTGCTATTTGGGACCACAAAAAGGATACTGTAGTTGGTCCATGGCCTGCTGGTTGATGGTTCCCATGCTATTGTATACAAAAGTGCTGCTCAGTAGTATCGCCAAAGCAAAGATCCAGGAGTCGTTCTGGTTGTCTCCCTAGGATTGAGTGCAGAAAACATCTGCTTTTGATTCGGGTAGACCAAGTCTGAACTATAGCTCTACCTCATACTACATGTGGAAATTTAGGTAAATCACTCCCTCGGGTATTATTTATTTTCCATCTATATGATGAGTTTTTTAACATTCAGTTTATGGTATTGTGAAATTTAAATAAAATATTGTATATGAATACATATCAGAGTATTAAGTACATAAGCACTTGAAAATGATGGGCTACTAATATTCAAATGTGCTCCTAAATTTAGATGTGGCCTAATTCCATTCCAATGACACATGGTGGTAAACAACCTTTTAGGCAGTTGTTAAAGAATGCTATTTTAACAATATATATATATATTTTTAGCCAAAGATTTGTAAGAGTAATAATGTATCTTCTGTTAAGAACGAAGATGTTGTCATTAGATGTTACACTTCGACTTGCTCTTTTATAAATATGGATGTTATGGATAAGACCATTTTTTTTTTCCTTAATTTTTTATTGTTATTTGGGTGAAAGTTTACAGAGCAAATTCATTTTCCGTACTGAAATTCATACACATTGTGTTTCATGACATTGACTGCAATTCCCCACAATGTAACATCTCTTCCCACTTCCTCTCTGTAGTTACCGCTTCCCTGTGTCCTTTCCTGTGCATTGCTGCCCCCTGAGCTATCTCTCAGTGCACACACTGCCCTTATTTTCCTCCCATGATTGATGGTTCTAAGGAGTGTATCTACTTAATGTAAATGTTCACCCTATATGCCTATTGTTTGGCTGGAATCCATGGGAGTGAATTCAATTCCAGACCTGAATGGTAACTAAGGGCCATAGTCTCGGGGTTCTTACAAGGCTCTATCAGACCAATAAACCTGGTCTTTTTTTTTTTTAATGAATATCAACTAATTTTAATTTTGCCAGGATCCTATGACATTGATACCATGATTAGTACCCCCATCTGTTCTGGTTACCTAGTGCTACTCTGACAAGAAATATACCACAAATGGGATGGCCTTAACAAACAGGTGTTTATTCTTATAATTTGGAGGCTTTAAGTCCAAGTTCAAAGTGCCAGGCTCTAGGGGCTGGGTGAAAGCCCCTCAACCTTGGGGTCCAGCTCTGCCTCCTGCTCCCGGCTCACTGGAGCTAGAGGCATTTCTTCACTCAAACAGCTGGTGGCTGCTGAGGCTGAGAAGCCCCAAGGTTGACAAGTAAAAGGGCACAGTCCCAATGTTACCAGACCACACGGCAGGCCATTAGCTTAAGTCCATTGTAAGTCCCAAGGTCGGCAGAGCATAGCAGGCTGCTGAGCAATGACACGGCTACATGCAGAGTCCAAGCGTGCCATAGGCTAGAGACCATTCCCGAAGGCTTCTCCTTATATTCAAGAAGCAGACCACATAACCAAAGGCAGTTACCCAGCTGCTTGTGGTAGATCCCACCATGGAGTTGATTGTCAGTCGCCTTATGGGGATTAAGTACCACCAGCTGCCCAGCCTCTCAACCAGGCCCAGCCAAGTTGACACACAAACCGAACGACCACACCATCTCACAGGTGGAAAACCAAGGCACAGAGAAGGTGAATGATGTAATTAATGTCACCTGGCCAGTGAGTGGCAAAGCTGGCATTATTTCACCACTGTCTACAAACTCTGACTTCAGTCAGTAAGTTCTCAGACTAATTTTCAAATTTCTGGCAAAGTATTTTGATCAGACCATTCTTATCATCTTTCCTGGCCCCCATTGTGAAATGTCACACATGTTTGTAAAATATCTAATCAGGTTTAGTGGCGCTTTCTTCAGGCTCAACAAAACATTCTGCTATCATACATATGAAAGACACATGGCTAAAAAAAAGTCATTTATTATTACTTTATGAACTACATAACCACCTAATTAATTGACTTTAATATCCGCTCTCCATATTTATGAATTGGGATTCAGAGTACATGGTATGCACCAACTCCCAAATCAGTACCTCATGCTCAGAGGTTATGTTTACTGTGCTCACACAGACCTGGCTTTAGTTGGGTAATGAATTGGATGCTAGATCAAACTTTCACAACTATCAAGCAAAGAAAAAAGAATAACATATTGATATGATCGGAAGGTTGGGCAATCCTACTTCCGTAGTGATACTGCCTCGGAAACCCAAGGAGGGGTTGCTATGAGTCGGGTTTGACTCGATGGCACATAACAACAACAACAACAATGATCAATTGGAAGCATAAGTCAGCATTTGGGGAGTGGTAGTGCAAGAAGCAGAGGCATATCTAAATTATGGCAGATATGCCCTGGGTATGGCTTGAATGGGGCAGTTACTATAAGCAGTTTCTGTTGGTCATTACTGCTTCCATTGCCAGCTGTAACAGCTCATTCAGCAATTTAAAACTAATTGCCATAGATACTATATTCCACAGACACGTCACTGGCAAGGATGGCTATATATCTGGCATATGTAGAATTTAAAACTTTTTTTTTACCTTCTCTACATCTCCCAGTCCCTCGGTGTCAAGCAGAACTAGGGTGTGGCTTGACACATTGGGATGAGGCACACACCACATCCAGATTCCCTTGGTGTGAGACTGCACTGTGGAGCCCAGGGAGAAGCCTGCAAAGAGTGAATGTGATATTTCGGAATGGAGTTTTAATAGAAGGCAGGTCTGGACAATGAGATAAAAGTTAATGTAATGAAGATTAGAAGACATAACTAAAACCATAACCAGTGTATATCTTAATTAACCTAGAGAATAGTGAAATTGGAATATACAATACAGATTGAAACATTTGACTTAACCTTAAAGATCAGTGCAAGACTGTTGTTACCACATGAACATATTAGTAAATGCCTTAGAGTTCATTTTTATGTACATTTATTGTTTTTTATTACTATCTCATTCTATCCAGGAAAAGTAATTTATACTCTTTAAAGGGGAAAATTAAAGCAAAGTGTGAAGCAAGATGGAGCTCACTCTTATCTTCCCAAACAGAGTAAAGATAAAAATTTTAACCTAACATTAGCTTTCAATATTCATCCCACTTCTAAACTTTCTCTTTTACATCACCATATTCGATGTTAGGCAGTGTGAGCAGACAGAAGGTACTGACTAGAACTATGCTGGTGCAACTTACCCTTTTTCTTTCCAGCCAGCTTGTTCATCAGGTAGGATTTTCCTGTGCGGTAGAGTCCCACAATAGCTACCACAACAACAGGCTGCTTAATGGTAGACAGGATCTTCAAAGCTTCCTCATTAGCCAGCAGTTTCCCATTAATATTCTCAATGAGGCACACGGGGCCTGGCATGTTGATAGCTGAGGCCATGTCCAGGGTTAATTTTGTCTGCAAGAATGAAATATAATTTATAGATAGTTAGCTGAGTTAAATAATAAAATATGGATGGAATTTTTGTTTTCTATCCTTGAACTTTATTCCTTGTTCCAGTTTTAAAACTCCTTGTGACAACATCTGAGGTGAGGTTTCATATGGTATTGAAATAAAGTAGGTATCATTTCAAATTCAAAAAAACCAAACTCACTGCCATCAAGTTGATTTCAACTCATAGCGACCCCTCCTTGGGTTTCCAAGGTGATATCTCTGTGGAACTAGATTGCCCAATCTTCCTTCCCAGGAGTGGCTGGTGGGTTTGAACTGCTAGTCTTTTGGTTAGCAGTCAAATGGCTTAGGCACTACATCACCAGAGCTCCCTCATTTCAAACTAGATTGTTATAAGGTTACGATGTTAAATGTCATTTCTCTGGTAAGCACAAAGAAATTATCTAAAAACTATACACAGACAGAAATGAAAAGGGAATCAAAATAGTTCCTGGCAAAAATCAACTAAACACAAAAGAGGAAGTAATGAAAGAAATCAAGAATAAAATAGGTACATATATGATTAACAGAAAACAAATAGCATAAGAGTAGAAGTTCTTTCTTATCAATTATTACTTTAAATGTAAATGGATTAAACTTTCCAATCAAAAGGCAAGAATTGGCAAAATGGGTTAAAAAAAAACAAGTGATCCAACTACACACTACCTACAAGAGACTCATTTTAGATCCAAAGACACAAATAAGCTGAAAGTGAAAGAATGGAAAAAAATATTCTATGAAAATAGTAACCAAAAGAGACCTGAGTGGCTATGAAGCAAAACAGACTTTAAGTCAAAAACTGTTCCAAGAAGCAAAGGAGGATATTATATATTGATAAAAGGGTCAATTCATTAAGAATATATAACAATTATAAATATTATCACCTAACAAGAAAGCCCCAAAATATATCAATCAAACATTGGCAGAATTGAAAGGAGAAATAGTTCCATGATTATATTTAGAATCTTCAATATACTGCTTTTAGTAATGGATGGAACATCTAGAATAAAATCAGTAAAGATGTAGGGGATTTGAAAACTCTATAGACCAACCAGAGCTAACAGACTCCATTCAACAACAGCGTAATACACATTTTTCTCCAGTGCACATGGATCATTCTCCAGGACAGACCAATGTTAGGCAACAAATAAATGCACCATAAGTTTAAAAATACTGAAAACATACAAAATATTTTCTCTGATCACAAGGAATGAACCTAGAACTCAAATGTAGAAGGAAAACTGAAAAATTCACAAATACGTGAAAATTAAACACACTCTTAAACAGCAAAACATCCAATCAATCAAAAAGGAAATCATAAGGGATATTAGAAAATAAAATACTGAGAGAAGAATTAAAATGAAAGTAGAAATATATGGGTTGCAACAAAGGAAGAAATAGAGAAATGTATAGCTATAAATACCTACATTATAAAAGAAGAACACAAGTTACCAGACTTTACACATTGAACAACTAGGGAAAAAAAAAAAAAAGATAAAAATAAGGCCAAAGCTAGGAGAAGAAAGGAAATAATAGATATGAAAGGAGAGATAAATTAAAAAGAGAATAGAAAAATAACAGAAAGTTTCAAAGCAAAATTTTGTTCTTTGAAAAGATCATAAAACTGACAAAATTATAGCTAGGCTGACAAAGAAAAGAAAAGAGAAAATGCAAATAACTGAAATCAGAAATGAAAGTCGAGACATTATGATCAGCCCAAGAAACAAAAAGACTGTAATAGAACTTTAGGACAATTGTACAGCAACATATAAGATAATCCTTAGGAAATGGAAAAATTGCTAGAAACACACAAATTACCCAGAACAACTCAAAAAGAAATACAGAATCTCAACATACCTACCATAAGTAAAGGGATGAATCAGTAGCCCCAAATCGCCCAACAAAGAAAATTGCAGGATCATATGACTTTGCTGGTGAATTCTGCTACACATTGAAAAAAGAATTAAAACCAATCCTTGTGAAACTCTTGTGAAGTAGGAAACACTGCCTAATGCATTCTCCCAAAATTAAACCCACTTCTGTTGAGTTGATACCAGCTCTGTTGTCTTTTAGGACAGAGTAGAACTGACCCCCATGGAATTTCCAAGGCTATAAACTTTCCAGGAGACTGCCATATCTTTCTCCCACAGAACAACTTTAGGAGAGTGGGTTCAAACCACTGATCTTTCAGTTAGCAGATGAGCACTTTAACCACTGCACTACCAGTGCTCCTTAATGCATTCTATGAGGCTGGAATTACCCTGATGCTAAAAGCCAAATATAGGCACCACAAGAAAAGAAAATTACAGACCAGTATTCCTTAAACATGTAGATGAAAAAATTCTCAACAAAATACTAGCAAGCCAAATCTAACACCACATTAAAAAGACTGTATATCATGACCCCATTGGATTTATCCCACGGATGCAAGGGTGGCGTAGTATACCAAAATCATTTTAATACACTACATTACTAGAACAAAGTGAAGGAGCAGGTCATGACAATTGATCCAGAAAATACATTGACAAAATTTAACACCCTTTCATGTTAACAGCACTCAGAAAACTAGGAATAGAAGAAAAATTTCTCAACATGTTAAAGGCACTTATGAAAAACCCAAAGCTAACATCTGAATATTATCTATATAAGATTAGGAACAAAACACAGATGCCCACTTTTACTACTGTTATTCAATATTGGACTGGAATTCCCACCAGAGAAAATAGCCACCCCTCCAAAAAAAAATTATATATATATGTCATCCAAATTGGAATGGAAGAAATAAAACTCTTTATTCAACAATGTTGTTGTTGTTATATGCCGTCTAGTCGCCCTGACTCATAGCGACCCCTCCTTGGGTTTCCCAGGCGGTATCACTATGGAAGTAGATTGCCCAATCTTCCTTCCGAGGAGTGGCTGGTGGGTTTGAACCGCCAGCCTTCTGGTTAGCAGTCAAGTGCCTTAGGCACTACACTACCAGTGCTGACAACTACATATGTAGAAAGCAATGAATAATTCACCTGGAAGCTGTTAGAGCTATTAAACACATTAGGCAAATTCGTGGGTTATAGTATCAGCACACAAAAATCAGTTGTGTTTCGATACACTGGTGATGAGCGGTCTCAAAAGGAAATTAAGAAAACAATTCTATTTACATAGCATCTAAAATAGTAAAACACCTAGAAACAAATTTAACCAAAGGATTAAAAGTCTTGTACACTGAGAAGTACAAATATTGCTGAAAAAATTTAAGATGATTCAAATAAATGGAAAGGATCTCTGGGGCACAAGTGAAGCCCTGGCTGCTAACTGAGATACAGGCAGTTTGAGGCCACCGGTGGTTCCACGAGAGAAGAAGACTTTCTCTTGTAAAGATTACAGCCTAGGAAACTCTATGGTTAGTTCACATAGGGTCACTATGAGTCGGAATTGACTCAACAGCACACAACAACAAATAAATGGAAAGATGTCTCATGTTTATGGATTGAAGACTTAATATTAAGATATCATATTACCCAAAACAATCTACAGATTCAACAAAATCCCATCAAAATTCCAATAGATATTTTTGCAGAAATAAAAAGTCGATTCTCAAATTCTTATGATGTTGCAAGAGGCCCCAAATAGCTAAAACAATCATGAACTCTGCTCTTTATAAAACACGATTGTAAACATGATCTGTTTAACCAGGTCTTAATACTTTGAACTTAAAAAAAAAAAAATCATTTTATAGATTTAGAAAGGAGTGAAAAGACTTCCAATCAGGAATGTATTATCTTTGTGTCTTTATCTTGTGTCTCAATCCCTGTAAGCTGCAGTGATCATGCTATAACATTTGTTAGTTCTCTTCGATACAAATACAAACAATAAGCACCCCAGTGTTTACCTTACTGTATGATGAACGAACAATAAAACAGCAAGTTGCTTTTGATACAGAGTTGGTTACTACTGTAGGTAAAACTTTAACAACTAGCTACCTGATTTGCTTTCGCTGAGGGCTTTACATGAAGAAGTTGCCAATAGTGTCACAAACTGGGCTTCTTATCTCCTCACTGGAAGATGGCAAATGCCCCCCCCCCCTTTTTTAAATGCTGAAGACTTATTTCCTATTTCAACAATGTTCCACAGGGATGGGTGGCAAGCTAATATTGGTCTACTTGATTTTATACATTGTTGTTGTTGTTGTTATGTGCCGTCGAGTCAGCCCTGACTCATAGCAACCCTTCCTTGGGTTTCCGAGGCAGTATCACTACGGAAGTAGGATTGCCCAACCTTCCTTCCGAGGAGTGGCCTGGTGGGTTTGAACCGCCAGCCTTCTGGTTAGCAGTCAAGTGCCTTAGCCACTATGCTACCAGAGCTCCCGATTTTATACATACAACCGTAAAATGAGAATCAATCAATGACTGACTCAGAAAAAGCAGCTGCACAAAGATTTTATAAGCTCCCAAATCACAGAAACTTTTCAAGTTATTATATAATGTTGCATCTTTTCTGTAGATTCCAAGTGACCTAACTTCTAGTTACCTGGAGGTATAAAAGTTAGTTATAAAGGAGGAGATGGAATCTGAGCTTTATTAAGTAGGTTCTATCAAAAACAAAGGTAATTTAAACAGATGACTAGAAAGAAATGACAGTCTTAAAATATTCGCAGATCTTATCTCTGCTGATGCCTAAAGCAACAGAGCACAGCAGTGAACACTAACAGATATGCTGCCTGACCGATGTTCCACATCAAGCTCAGAGACAGCACATTTTTTTGGGTGATCATTTCAGAGAAAACTAACTGACTCTTACGAGTTTCTCCCCACCCTGCCCAGTCTTACCCAGAGCAGAGATTCTCTAGAGTTGTAAACAAAGCTGCTTCAATGAGCAAGTTCTGAGAGTGCTTGCCTTTTCTCCTTTTCTTCTGAGTTTAGCTGCACTGGTTTCTGTTACTTTTCTCTTTTGCAGGAAACCTAGGC